CTTATTAGAGCCGGTAACACCGCCACATATTGCGCTAAAGATATTGCGCCCGGCGAAAGGTTCTTTTGCACAATGTCGTGCAACATCTGGAGCGTTTCTCGTGATAACCTGGCTCGTCGAGATACGACTCGTAGCGCGGCGGAACGAGTGACGGCGCTGAGAACGCGAGGATCCTCTGTTACGTTACTGCCGGAGTGATGATGCTCGGTGCAGCAGCAGCACCAGCAGCAGCACCAGCAGCAGCACCCTAAAGCTGTACCACCGGTGATGGTAATGATAACGAGAACGATAACGCTCGCAATACCGACAATCGCCGGGACTGCCGCCCGCGAGGGACGTTAAAGTTCTGCTCAAATTCAGCGGGAAAGAGCGAGAGAGAAAGAGAGATGATGATGACGGTGCTAGATAACTCGATGAATATGATATCTCGAAATATTTCACACGCGCAAGATGTTCCTCGAAGCCACTGGACGTCCTTATCGCTATGAATTCCGTGGATGAATAGTCGAGATTCCAAAAATACAACAACATCAAGGTGATCTATATTCCACGCAATTGTTAAGTTTAAAGAAAATTTAAATTTAAAATATTTAAATTGATAGCTTGCAAAAGTCGCGCGGCAACATACGCTGCGCTCTGATGATTATTGCGTAAAACATAAAACTGCAGTTACGTCGCAAAGGGTCATCCGCTTCCTTCTTGGTAGGCTTTCGTCATTATCACGACTTCGATTAAACGTTTTTACCGCGTGCATCGAAGCGTTTCGCGTAACGCGCGTGCGCGCGTGCACGCCTGCATCGTCGCGGCGATGCAACGCTCGAAGAAGTGCACGAAGGACAACGGGCGATCACGTACAATCGTAATTCCCCGCTCGGACACGAGATTGCGAACCTTGTTTCCAAGGACGTGATACGAAGGAAATATCGCGGATTCGTTAAAAGACGCCGCCTGCCTCCGACGCCTTCGCCTACGAACCTCAATTACTTCTCAACTAACCGAGATGGTACTCAGTGGATTTCCTCGTAACGCAATGTAATACGAACCGTTTCAGAACTAGTACACGGAGTCTTTCCAGTCACGGATCCTTCATCAAATTTGAAATCTTATCCTTAGCGAAACTTTCGCGTAAAAACTTCAGTCTATCACAATCTTTTGACTTCGCATAATAAGCAAGCCAATCAGAAATTAACAAATAAATCACAGCAAGTACATTAAACAAAAAGACGAAAAATCTCTCTATTTTTAAGAAAAAAGAACAATCCTACACGGAAAGAATTTTATTTTAAAATTTACCCTTAAAATCATGTTAATCATAGGACAATATAGTATTTCGACGAATTTTATGTGATTTTGATTATTTTTTTAAATATATATACTTATAATAAATTTATTGTAGTGTACAGTAAAATTTATTGTAGTGCACAATAAAATTTACTGAAATACTATATTGTCCTACAATTAACATGATTTTCAGGATAAATTTTAAAAGGAAATTCTCTCCGTGCATATTTTAGTAAAAAGTAAGAGTCTAATTTTATCTAAAAAAAGTCTCTTCTTTTATATTAGTTTGTACTATCTCCAGCTGCACGGTATGTATAAAAAAAAAAACATAAAGTACTGATTACAAGGATGCGACAGTCCGTACGAATGGCATTGAATTGGTAGAGGCAAGAAGAGACGAGAGAGATACGAACGTGAGAGATACGAACGTCTGAATTAATGCTGCAGTACGCAGTAGAGATAAGGTCACTATATTATCATATTAAATCCAGATATTCTATATCAGATATAATAGCAGATGCGTACGAATATAAATATTAAACAAACATTAATATATATTTGAAAAAAGATTGACGATGTAGCGAATTCGATTAAACGCAATAGTGCGCATTGGTGCGCATTTAAGCCGTACATAAATTGACATAAAGATATATATGTAAATTAGAATAAAAACGATTTAAATCGCAAAATTCTCAATACATTCTATTGTTTGATAAAATATATATTTTATAATTCAAAATATTTGCATTTCATTTATATATATTTATTGTTACTATAGATTAAATCGGTATAAATCGGCTTTAAATATGCATCAATTTGCGTACAACCGCTATAGGAATTAAGTTCAATTTTGAAAGATTAATTGGATATTTATGTTTCGCCCGCAAACAAATCCAAACAACTCTTGAGAAAAATAGGAATTTCAAATGCAAAATCAGATTTCTGAATAATTGCCTCTAATCTCTCAATAATTCAATCAACAGGTATTACAATGGGGTTTCATTACATTATATATTAAGTACATATACATATAAAATTTTAATACCATATACATACATATTTATATGTATATATATCTTGTAATTTTAACTATATAATGTATATGTATATATGTTAAAATTACAAGTAATAAATAATTTTTAGTAAGTATAATTATATCATATTTGTAACTCCTCCCTAAGTATAAGTACAATACGACCTTTCTAAATATAACTCAATCTCACCGCCGCAACTTGCCCGAGCGGCTCTTTGCGCAACGTGATGCGTGGGTTTTCCATTCGATTCGTTCCGAAATCGACAAAGTAGGCGACGGTAAAAACCCTTCGTGAGATAAGCCTCGTCAAATGCAAATACGAAATACGAACACGCGGCGGCATATATCGCGAAACGCGTTGCTCTAAGAATAGCTTCGCGATTAGTCGGCGTGCGTGCCAGGTACGTGCGCATCTAGGCCGTGCATTTTGTTCCCTTTTTCGCGCGAAAAAGCGGCACGCGCTCAAAGATCGTGGACCACCCCGGCGAAGAGGAGTCGCGCCTACGACGATTGACACGCGTCGTCGCTGAATTGCGCAGTAGCGTCGCGGGTGGGCGACGCGGAAGCCCGCGGCGCGGCGGGCTCCGAAATCGACCGGTTTTCTCCGCGCGGCGCGTCGGCGTCGCGACGGAGAAAACGTCGCGACACTTTATGAATTACGATCGTCTTGGACGGGGCCGCGAGCGCGGGCGTCCCAGTTTCGTCGCGCTGCGCCGCGCCGCGCCGGCGAAGCGGACGAGAGAACGCGAGAGAGTACGAAAAGGAGAGCGAGGAGGAGAGAACGAGCACGCGCGACACATACGCGCGCGTCGCGACGGCACACCGACACGAACGACGGCATGAAAGGCGCCGCTGCCGCGCCGCGAAACGTTACATACGCGTGTGCATATAAGGCGTTTCTCGCCGCGATACGGGACGGGCGCGCGGTGCGAAAACGGAAACGCGTTGTCGCGGCCGAGGCGCCGCGGCGTACGTGCGACGGCGTCGCGACGCCCGGCGGGCGGCCACGCCGGGCGCCGTGCGAAAAATATCTGGAGGGAAAACTCACCGGTGCTACGCGTCGTGCGGGCTCTGTCAACTGCGCAGTTCACGGGCCAAAAGGCTCACAGGCGGCAGGGACGTGACGCGCGCGGCTCGCGCCCGCGGCGGCCCGCGGCGTAGCGGGCCGATGGCGCGGCGGTGACGCTGGCGTCACCGCGCGGCGTCTCGCGGAGGCGCGCCGCCATTTTAATTGCGCCGTCTCCGACCCCCGCCATCGCCCCCGTTCTGCCACGGATCGGGAGCGGAGCACGGACGCTACGACGAACGGCGCGTCATGCTCGACTCTCGAGCTTCCACGAGACATCCGCGATTGGTATTTTCTTCGCGCGCGAAACTCGCTCGCGAAGTACAAATCGTCGCGAAACACACGGAGCGAATCGCGTCCTCACATACCGGCGGCGCGTTCCGTGACTGACTGCGATTCGAAATCTATCGAGGCGCGTGTCTATCGATACTGCGAGTATCGAAGTATCGAAAGTCGCGAGGTCCGTTCGTTTCGCTCGCGACGCGTCGCTCTCCTTGCACTCGGCGTGACGTTAGCATGCGTCCGATCTTCGGAGGGAAAAAGAAAATGAATTGATGAACTCGAAGCGCGCAATCGGAACAATCAGGGACTACTATTAATGTATAAAGTTCACACGATGTTTCCTCCCCCCTCTCGCCCCAGTGTTCTTAATATTATACAAATGAGTAATTAATTTCTTGCATTATTAAATTTTATAACGATTGTACGATGTGTGTTCACGTATCTGCACGACGGTCGTGCACCCATCGCTTTAATGAGCAAATAATTTGAAATACGCGACAATCAATTTCAGGCAGTTCTCAGAGTTAATAATAGCGATTGCGTAAAATGTTCAATACCTTCCGACACTCGTGACGATCCGCGCATAAAACTCACTCTCGAATGATTGAAGGAAAATGCAGACTGCAGAACGACTCGAACGCGGTCGGCCGTGGAAAGCGACGACGCGAAATCCAAAATGTCAGACGACGATACTGCGTTTCGCGAAGTCGAAACTCGGATTACTCGCGTTCGCTCGTTGCCCGCCACTCTACCTGCGATACTCGCCGAAAGAGGATCTCGGAAACTAATGTTAAACTCGTAAAATCGATCGTAAAAAGTCATCTCGACGCCCAAAAGCGGCCGCGGATAGAGAAACGAGAGAGACTATTTGAATCGCGGATGGCCGCGGCTCGAATGCCTCGAGTTCGATCGACGCGGCGCCCGCAGCGCCATCGCTCGGCGGAAGGCGGCACGCGAACGAGCGACGGCCGGCGGCGGTGCCATCTGTCGGGAGGAATGCCAAGCCGAGTCAGGCGCCAGCCTGACCGCATGAACGAAATATCGGCCAGCGAAACGGCAACCCCCTCGTCCGTCCCGCCCGCGCTGCCCCCCGCGATCGCAATCGATGCGAGCTGGGGTGTCGGGACAATTGCGATTCGCGCGTGCCGTCGCGGGATCGTCGGACGCGCGAAACGCGCTGTCCCGATCGTCTGGCGCGCGCCCTCTTTGCACAATGTGGTGTAATCCCGCCGTGCGCGCACGCAAGGACCCGTTCCCGTTTTCCCCATGGCAGGTTTGCGTCACGCGCGAGCACATTGTCAGGCGCGCGCGTATCGCCCGAAAAATCGCGACACTCACCGTCTCGTTCTCCGCGATGCACATCGGCTCCACTTCCATGGCGTTGCGCTACGTACGGCGTCGGGTGACGGGCAGGTGCGCGCGCTCTCGGGGTGGCTCTCGCTCTCGCGATGGCGATCGTCCGTAACAGTTCGCGACGGCAACGTGTGTCTGTTTACAAACACTGCAAGGTCACACATCAGACCGCCGTCTCCTCCCCACCTTTCCCGCCCACCCCCGCTCACTTCAGACCGCGCGTTACGTCACGCGGCGCGCGAACGTGGCGGCGCCGCGCGACGAAACGCCGAGTCGGTCGTCGAAAAATGCGACGCGCGCACGCACGATTGACAGCTCGATGGCCTGATCAGGCCTGATTAGGGCGCGATGAGCGATAAGCGAAAATATGAGCGAGGTCAACTGGATATGTCGGAAGCTGATAAGAATAATTCGATGGGTTCAAAGGTCAAAGTGCGAAAGACGAGCGCACTTTTGCTTCACGCGTTTTGCCTTCGAGACACCCTGTAAATTGTGCGAATTTTTCCAACCTGATTCCATTTATTCTTAGAACTAGAAGAGGAAATAAAAAATAAATGAAGATTAAAGTTCATCTACACATTAATAGAAATAAATGTTATTCCGCATTCTGAAATTGTTGAGAATCGAAGGCAATGACGCAATCCGTAATTGCTATTCGAGATATTGAACATGTAATAAAGTAAAATTGTAGTTTTCTTGTTCGTACTAAAATAACAGCGAAAATTAATGAAATGTCCGAGAAAATATCGTTAGATCCCGAATACGAGTGGATTGTACGAGTCTGTACTAATGCCTTCAACGTGTATCTAACAATGATGCACTTTATATTTTACGACAATACCTTAACCTTGCAACCAGAAAACTCTGGTAAATCGGACAGCTAAACGCGATTGTAAAAGTAAAATCTATGCTAACCCGAGCATGTATTTTGTAAAAAATTTTAGAAATTTCGCTCCTGTCCTACACGCTATTCATGGCGGCGTTGGATCTTTTCGCGTACTTTATTTACCAGTAAACACAGACTATAAATAAAAGGGAAAACTTCGGAGTAAGGGATGCAACACACGTCGCGCGATGCGGAAGAGGAGGGTAGAAATCCTATGGACTTTTGTAAAAAATATTCAAAACTTATATTTTAAGTCGTCTTAGTGAAAATTCTCAATGCGGAATTGTACAAGACGTTTTTTTTTTCATTCGTATTCTAAGTATTATAGGGGTAAAACGGGGGAAGTGGGTGGGTAAGGTATACGGTATATAATACAGTACTAGTCATCTTTATGTGTTCCAAAAATATTCTAGTTGTCTCTCTCGCTCTCTCGCTCTTTCCACACACTCTCGTCCTCACACACACGTTCTCTCTCTCTCCCTCTGTACTATCTGTCTATTATTCAGTCAAGCCACATACAAAGCCACACAAATTTGCAAGTCGAGAAAGCAACGGATGCTCGCACGTAACCTTCTTGAGCTAATCTAGTGATAATCGCACTCTCCCATCTCCAACGTCCCAAAGCGTTGAAGAATACATTTTATTGTGATGTTTCGACCAAAAGAAAAAAAGAAAACAGATCTAGCGCGAAGATAATGTTCAGAGTGGAAGTATTGTGAAATGTTTTGCTCTGACGAAATAATACGCGTGTCTGATACCGCAGTTTCGCATTCTAATCCGTTCTATGTAATCGTCTCAATCTGTTCACAATTATAATTATATGTGAAGAGTCGCCAATCCATTATTATAATTGTATCTAACAAATCATATTTATGAAAGGCATTAATGCAATTTCGAGATAATATATTATATTGAATATTAATCGTTCTTTTTTCGTTCGCGTACATACATTATGATGATTGTGACAACCGAAACACAAGGAGGAACAGTACACAAGACATCTTTTTCTCGCTCTGTGATATAGAGTGGTCAACAAATGACAAAGAAAATATAAAATAAAGCTTCACGAACGCCAATAAATCCATCCCTATAATTTTTATAAAAAAAACTTTAATGTGCTTATGTTTACAATTAAAACAAAATGTCACACGTGTGTAGCCAATAGTATTAAATGCCAATCTCTGGATTAATCGGCAGAATCACAATAAAAAATCACAGGCGACTCGTCGAAAAATGAAAATAAAATTCTCGTGGACCACCCGATTCACAGAGCGATTGGACGCTGTTCACTTATTTACAAATACTTATTAAGGACATACATACACCGAACGAATGACGAACGGAGAGCAAATCTGAATTTTCATTAAAGTTCGAAAAAAATGTATATGAATAGTAAATATGAACAGAATCTAATTTATGTTCCATTTAATCATGAAGATGGCATGGAGGGTTTTAAATAAATTAAATTTTGCGTTCGCTGTTCGCTCGTTGCTCATTCGAGAAGTGTATCCACATCTCTCGAGAGAGTTCTCTCTACTCTAGAATTTTATAATTTATATAGTTAATCTGTACACATACAACTGAAGACTACCGCTAGCGAATTTATAATGTATGTACACAATTTGGCGATTTTTTTGTTTGAAAATATTTAAAAATCCTTACACGACATACACAGTATGATCGCTATAAAGCTATATTCGACAGCTGCATACGTTTTATCTCGCCAATAAATGGCGTCATATAAGTGGAAGAAGTTTCCATCAGCCTTCGCTCGATCGTTCATACGAAACGAAAAACGTAATTTACATAAATATATTGAGAGTCTCGCCTACTTTTCGCGAAATTGATAACTGGATTGTTACTACCGTTCCCAAGAAAAAAAAAAGAGAAAGCTTCAAATCGGCGATAAAATATGTCGTTTCTCTACCATTGCGCTTCTTCCTTAGACCTAATTTTATCTTCCTTCTTGAGATACAATCGTTGATAGTCCTCCTGATAGGTAACATACTGCGTGTTCGATTTACCAGGCTTTTGTATGGTACCACCGACCGGCGAATTATTGGGGGAGTATTTCATCTCTTGTAACTCCTGCAACTCCTTCAACGATCTCATGACCATCTGGACATCCTTCTCCTGTTCCGTTGGTTGTACTGCGTTTGCCAAGCTGTCGTCCAAGGTAATGAAACCGTCTTTCCGTTTATCGGCTAATCCTCGCGGCGAGGAGTCGTCGTTTATGATCTGACTGAGGAAATTAGTCGCGGCAATCGTTTCCTCGTTTTGCCTCTGTTCCTGTTCCTCTTTCGAGAGGGTCGTTTGCTGTGGCATAGGCACTACGTCTTGATTAATAGGCCCTATCTGTTGCTCGATCATCTTGTGCTCCTTCTTTCTCTTCTTCTGATCGTGCGACGACTTATGCTTGACTTCCACACCTCGTTCTCGTTTCTTCTCCTTCTTCTCGGCGACGGCGGCCTTGACGACCGCCGCCGTCGCGTCGACATCTTTGTCGTCTAATCTCTTGTCGGATTTAGCGTCAGCATTCTCCTGCAAGAACCTGTGTTTCAAGGCCTGTGCTGACGAATGGGAAGCGTCCTGTCTATATACGGAATGATGTCCAGCTTGGGTAATTTCGTTCATTTTAGGATGGCTCACAGGTTCCGGGCATGGTGTAATAGAAACTCTATCCTTTATTGCCTCGGTTAGCTTTGTCGACAGTTTGTCGTAGTCGACACGCGTTATGGACAGAGAACTGTTTGTCAAATCCATGAAATTGAATTTCTCGACGTGACTCTTGGCTGGCTTTTGGGCCATTAGTTGTGCTGTAGGGACTACGGAAATTTTACCAACTGTAAAATTATTGACCGCGACGCACTCCTGCTGCTGGCTTCCCGCACTGTTCTCCGTGTGCTTGTCCTTATATTTATTACTATGCTGTTGCTTCCTATCGATATTGACGTCGTTAGACTTCGCTGTAGCTTGACTCGCAAAATTCGTCGAATTCTCACCAATGATCGGAACTTTAGATACAGTCGTGTTCGTCCTCTCGTTCTCTTGCGGCAAAAGGTTATTCGCGTTTGTCGCGTCGTTCTTTGCAACAGTATTGCAAACTTGAGTATTGGCAGAAGCGGTAACGTTGTTTGCACTGGCCATTTCTTTTGGTTTCTTCAATTTCTTCTTAATGCTAAAAATCATAATAATCCATTAATGATGAAGCAGCACGTGAATACCGACATCAAAGGAATGTGTAAATACAAGACAGGAAGAGAAGACAAGCCGTACATAGTAAGAAACAAAAGTGTAAAGTTAATTATCTGTGTGCATTTAATAACAATAACAAAAAGGAGTGTATGCTAACTAACATAACTGAAGCAACTTTTGCATGTACAAGAAACTAGAAAAAGCATTCGAGGAACAAAATTAACATTGACATTAAACATTTGCGTACAAGTTAATGTTATAATCTCATATAATCTGGTTATGTCTACAAATGCGTTAAATTGAGTATCACTCTCGTAGAATATGACTTTTTTTCTAGGAATCCGTTAACGTTTCGTGCGAAGAAGTAGAAATCAGTATTAATCCGTTACACCTTCCTAAAACATACAACAATCAAACAATGAAGCGATCAATTAACCTTCCTGACATAGTCATGTGACGACAACGCGGCAGATTTTCTTGACCGCAAAAAAAAATTAGTTAAATCAATCTTCTTGATCCTAACTTTCAGACACGCACTCCTTTCACTTTGGTAAAAAATAGGAAAGAAACCATAGTAGGGGACTTTCATGCATGAAGCGAAGCACAAATAGCGAAAGAGTTCTCTTGTAACGCTTGTAAAGAGTGTATCCAACAATTGAATGTAGTAAATTAACGGCAAAATAATTGCACTTACGCGGGTTCGACTGGACTAGCATATTTTAGCAAGGTTTGCAATCGTACATATCCGGGCGGCCACAATGGTAAAACATTCGCATCCATGAAAGTAGCAACGAACGATTCCATACTCTCCTTTCTTGATCTGAGAATTTTGAAATAGTGTCTCCTGGCGTTTGCAATTTCAAGAACGAGTTTCCTGAAATTGAGATTTACAGAAATACATGTCACATATATTCACAATATATTCACATAACCTGCAAATGTGTAATAACATTCGCGTGATTACACATTTGCAGGTTATGTGAATGACATAATTTTTGATCGATAACACACTTTGCTTCGTCAGTCCAGGGAAATCGTTTTCGTGGTATTTTCGGCTTTTCCGCGTTCTTAGACGAACCATCTTCTTCGTCGCTGCTCTCCGCATCTGCAGGCGATCCCTCCAAACCCCTGAAATGGGATCAATCAATTAATTCGGATGAAGATAATATTATGAAGATTCATGATTTCGCGATGACAAAGAATGATGATCAGCATTTGTTGCGACAGAATTCCGCGATCTTGATCTCTGCTTTAGTAATAATATAAAGTACATAATCAAATCGCCTAGTCATCGAATTGTGTCCCAGATCAAATGCATAGTTTTTTCTCGTTTGACACAAAAGATGAATCTAGTGATGAACTAAACACTGATACTGATGATAAAAAGCCCCGCATCTTCCTCTGCTTTCTCAGTAATGTGACAGATGAAGAATAATGACCACGCTAATAAAATGTCTTTTTCTTCTATATGCAAACACAATTGATTGTGTGTATGAGAATGTTGATAATAATTGAGAGAGCAAAAGCATGTAAAGCATGAATAGATTAGAGGGAAGAGATTGAAGGCAGTAGAAAAGAGAGGAAAGATAAAGAGAAAGAGCAGTCGAAGAGGCGAGAATAGAAAGGGGTTCCTCTTACGAGGGGCGCCTTACCAACAGTACCGATATATCTCCCAGTATAATTGAGGACTGAGAAATAAAAAATTACAATAAGTTTATATTTAAGAAACTATAAACTGTAGTTTTATATGTACTATCGCGGCAAACTGGATTCTTTAATTCAACTGCATTAAATATCATAAAACCTTAACAATTTATTGTATAAATAGAATTAAGACATAATTTATTATTAAAGAGCAGAATATTGGATTGTCGCAAAAAAGAATAAAAACTGCGACATACCAAATAACTACTAATACGACATGTAATAAAGTTACTCACTTTTCATCGGCAACTTTCTGACATTCCTTCATATATTTGTCCATAACTGATGGCATAACATTATCGATCAGCGCCTTTAATCTGTAAAATGTTAACAAACCTTGCCAAACTCAAAATTTTCAAAGAACAAGAACAGATAATTTTTATATTGTAAATATAAGAAAAAGTTTCTTACACATATTATAAGTATACAATTGAAAAAGCTATTATATCTTACTTTTGCATCGGTTCGTTCACTCTGTGCTCAGCATCTTTCAAATAAAGCTTCTTCGCCCTGCTGAGAAGAGTAATTTTACTACAAGGTAAAAACCGCACTAGATGTCCGTAAGTTTGTAATCTTATGCTGGGCGAATTCAGCATTCGCAGTTTCTTCTCTAAACTGTAATAAAAGAAAGTAAAACGGATCTTAGAATAATTTTCACAATTTGCGTAATTCGTATGTAATTTAGGCAATTTATAACACACAAACTTACTTAAAGAGCACTTCGTTAACTGCGCTATTGAAGAACTTGCTTTTGCCGTCTTTGCTGGTTTCCGCTTGAGCCTTTAATTTATTCACTATCTCTCGTATATCATCGGGTAGATTCTCGGGCAAAGACGCTTCTTTATTCTCCATTTCCTCGCCGTCAGATTCAACGTAAAGACAAACGCGAGATTTCCCCGAATCCGTTGTGTCACGACTCGAATCGTCGTCAATTGCTCTCGCTGCTGCATTGACGACGCTCTCTATCGCGTCGTCGATGTTACTGTCTTTAGCTTCCAATCTCTTTGGATCCACCTTCTTCGCGTCGTATCCGTTACTATTGGACGATTTCTTCTCGAACTTTTTGATATCGAACTTTTTCTCACTTATTTTATTTTTCTCTGGCTTCTCAGACTTTTTCTTCTCCTCTTGATCTTCCGAGGCTGAAAGCGAGAGATTATTCCATAAATAATGCATAAATCAAATATTTTTAACAACTTAATAAAAATATAAAAAGTGAGAAATATATTTACCTGTACCACCCTCAGCATCCGTCGTCTCATTCTTCTCCTTCCGTCTCAGCAGATCCAAATCTTGTTGAGAATTTTGTTGCTGCGCGTCCTGCGCCTGATGATTTTGCGGTTTTTTCCTCTTTTTGCCATTCTCGTGATTGACTTTCTTCTCGCTATTTTCCTCAATTTTTCGTCTCTGTCGATAGGCAGCATTACGTTATACGGAGTAACATACGACGAACGAGGCAAGTAATATCGTATATTTAAAAATTAATTACCTTTCGCGGATTATCACCAGTGATGTCTTCCGTCTCATCGTCATCAGAGGAGCTAATGATTCGCTTATCTACTCTTTTAGGACTATCTACATCTTCGGTATCCTCCTCGCTACTTTCGCTACTCTCCTCATCGTCACTATTGTTATTATTATTATTGTTATGGACTAACGAACGTCTATCGGCTGCTCTGAACTCAAGGGCCCCGCAATTAATATAGAAACCCCCGTGCGCCGTGGTCATCTCTTCGGGTACAATTTCATCATACTATTGACACAAAATATTAGGATTGCATTAAAAAAAAAAAAACAAGTGGATGATCTTTGATAATATTTTCTCGCGCATCGTAAAAGTGGGATTTCACGTACAGCATCGGTATTGTCGATGAAGGAGTCGTTTTCATCATATCCTGCGCCCAAGTCCACGTAATCGTCGTACTTGTGCCTCTTCTTGCCCATAGTAGATGTTCCCTGAGGCGAACGGAAAATAATTAACCCGTTTGTCAATTTAATACCAAAGGTCAGTTTTATTATATCAAACGTACGTATTTCGCCTCGAAGCGTCTCGCCATGTCTCTAAGCTTATCCTCGTCATCGTCGTCGTCGAATGGATCCAGTCCATTAGTTGTATTCTCATCTCCCCTCTTTTGTTCTTTCCTTTGCTTTTTCTGCAAAAGTAAATAGATTAATTAATTTGCGATCGCTCGGTTGGAGTACGCGTCGAAACCGTCCTGTTGCACGTTCGCGCACCGACCCAGTAATCCACAATTAAATCGCTCGCTATCTCGCTTCGCTCTCTGTATCCCACTTTCACTAATTTATAAAAAATTCAGATCGATCAGATAGAACAGACTGTATCCGTGTACGCGCGCACCCGTGTATAAACTCTCAAATCCGGTTTTCAATGTATCGTTGACAATGATCAGACGTGCAACGTCTGCACCTTTTTTCAATCAATATGTTTATTTTTAGTAAATATATTTATAGTAAAATTTATTTCAAAAGTACTCTATTTTCACGCATAAAGTACGAAACAACTTAATCACTTTATAAATGCGTAACGCAAATATATTTTATTCAATTTCTCCTAAACAGATAATTAAGAAATTACTAAAGTCTCAATGACTCAACCATGAGTCACCACGTCTCTACATGTACAGCGAATGCTGTGAATTAAAGATCCTCGCGGCGATTTTTTAATAAAAGGCCTAACAAGAAAAATGCGTAAATTCACATTAGTTTATTTGTCGAAAATTACAACTTTAATCTGTGTGCTCCCCCCCCCCTTCCCTCGCAAGACAAGATTATTGATCACGTTCTCAGAAATAGAGAAGATTAAAGAAAGACAAAAATCGAAAAAGAAGTGCCAACAAAAGTGGCGTGTGAGAATTCTGCAGAGAATGAACCGACTTCGAAAGGGTGCCAGACGTGTCCAGCGATACCAGGAGCGCATAAAGCAGCCGCAGCGTCGTCCTTGCGATTTCGCGCTCTTTCCATCGCGTTCGCGCCGCGAACCACCTCCTACGGCCTCCTGTTCCCCTGTCGAAGGGACGCCGAATCGAGCGATTGATCCTGCCTGCAACGTGGTTATTGACGATCGAGGATTGGTTCTCTTCCCATTTTTTTTTCCCCTCCCTAACGCAAACGCGTTCTCGATCGAATCGGAGCCTTGTTAATCGTCCAATTAGTTACTCAATTAATCAGCGAGATGTAAACGCGCGAATCTATACGGTATCGCTTTCCCTCACATCGCTTCGCCGCTCGCGGTTATTATCGGAATTCTTAACACACATAAAAAAAAAACGGATACGGAGGCTAACCCAGTAACGCGATTACATCGCTTGATGAATTAAAAAATTCAGAGTAAAATTGAATGGGAGAGAAAAATGCGGGCACAATAGCCACATGGTCGAAACAGTGAAATAATACGAGAAAGAGAGTAGTTAAAAAAATAATAATAAAACGAGCTTAATGAACACCCAGCCGTGTATCAAAGAGGTAGGATAACGTTCGATTTTCATGAACAGCCATTCCGCATTTAATCGCGCGATAAAGCCGTACGTTAAACAATCCCCATGGACCCCGGTGGTCGATCGATTTTACATTGCGAATTTTCGAAATGCGCGCCCCCGCTACTTCGAAATTTGATTCGCCGGCGAATACGTGCCACGTTTTCGAAACACGTGCGCGAACCAAAACAAAGCTGCAAATTGCACGCAGCAAGCGGCGCGGTCGTTGATGGAAATAAAGCGGCGTGGGCCGCAAGAACACAATCTACCGAATCTACATTCCGGATGAAAAAGAGGAGAAGCGAGTGCGAACGTTTTCGGAGGCGATTCGTCGTCGCTTCTAGCCTTCCGTTCCGTCAAACCCGTCGTTTCGGCGGGACAAATGCGATTACAAGCGGTGAAACGACGAGCAACGTACTTCGCATATAAATATTTACTTGAAAATAAAATATTTAAAAATATGGAAAAATAATAGATATCCGAGATATTTGAGACCGTCCGATAATATCCATGAATTTCCGATTTATTCGCGAGACAGAAAAGATGATCTCGAAAACGGATAAATCGTCTAATCACCTGGGGAAAGAGACCAATTAAATTAGAGTTTATTTATTTATTTATTTCGTATCTCGCCACTTGTGTCAGAAGGGGAGAGAAAGGGAGGAGACGCCGAAGCGCGTGACACGCGTCTCGAGCGGCGTATTCGATACGTGCCGGCGGTCACGAGTCTCCTCCGGTGCATCGATCTACAATTCAGAAAGGAGAGCCCCGCGGCACGCTCTCTCGCGCGCGCGTGAAATAAGAGACCTCCGTGCGCGCGACACACACGGCGTGAGCGTGTGTGTCGCGCGCTACTTCTCTCTCTCTCTCTCTCTCTCTTTCTCTCACTCCCTCTTCCCGGTCGCGTTTTCCGCGTATCCTTCTCCCCCATGCATCAAGACCCCGCCGGACGAAGTATGTACGTGGCTGGCGAAATAGACCGGCGTAGACTCTGCACACACGAATAAGGCATCGTCGCCGCCGTGTGCGTGCGTCTCTTTTCCTTCTTCGAGGAGAGAGAGAGAGAGAGAGAGAGAAGGCAAGACGGAGACAGATGAAATGCCGGACGATCGCGCAATGGCAACTCTCGTACAGACGTTTTACGAACAGAAGGGACGCGCACGAAGCGTCCCCCGCGTTTCTCCCGCGAGAGAAAGACAGAGAATAGCGCGCGTCTCGAGGATGCAAATCTGACTGACTGACTGACTGACTGACTGACTGGCGGCGTCCGCCTCGTGACAGCGTGCGGACGGCGGTGACGTTGACAACGCGCGGATACTCCGGCACGGCGGAGGACCACGAATCGATCAAGGAACCATTTCGGCCGCCGCCGCCGTTGCAACCGCCGTCGTCTGCCGTCCTTGTTGTCGCATGTGGGCAGACGAATTCCGGCGCGCACGAACGGGCGACGTTGCGTGCCGCGTGACAACCGCGCGGAGCGGCGGCGCGCGGCCACCTCGAAGATTCCTCGCGGCCCCCTCGGCGTCGACGTCGACGTCGGCCGTCGATAGAAACACACACGTTCCGCCGTGTCTCCTCTCTCTTTCTCTTTCTCCATTCCCCCTTCCCCTACCACGCACTCACACACGCTCGCATTCTCTCTCTCTCTCTCTCACACACACATCTATCTCATTTTTCCCGTATGTTTCGCGTGTATGTCACGGGCTTGACATACGGTCTTTTGTTTCCCCCCCGCCCCCTTCCCGCCGGCAGCGAAGGGTGCGGGCTGACCGCGCGGTGGCTCACCTCCGCCGACTTGAGGAGCTGCGCATAGTTGAACTCCGGGCATGTCTTCTCGTTCGACTCGGGCAGGGTGAGCGCGAAGCGGAAGGAGGGCGCGAGCTGCTTGCCCATGTTCCCCTTTTTCTCCTTCTTCGTCGCGTGGCCCAGGGGCTCCGGGAACTCCAGGGTCTGCAGGGGCACCCGTTTCGCCTCTGACATTCCTTTTACATTTGCACCGAGCCTAACGCGGATCACGGAAACACTGCGGGCCGTGCGACCTGCGACCGCGGCAACATGATACACACCTCCTCGCGCCACTCTCTCTCTCTCTCCTCGATTAAACACCGCGCGGACGCCGCCGCTCACACGTCGCCATCTTCGGCACGACTGTTTTTAGAGTGCGCCACGGACGCGCCGCCGCGACGCCGCCGCGCCTGCGCCCCCCGAGGAGTGGCCCACTCGCCGCCGCCGCGGTCGCGTTTTCAACTCGGCCTCGCGCGTTGTCCAATTGAAGCCGCAATCAGCGTCAATTTTCAACGCGATCAGCCATGTTCGATGTGGACCGACAATAGGTGGACACGCATCTAGATACTCGTGCATCGTGAACGATAACGTCAAGCAGCTGATCTGACAGTTGTAACTTGAGTTTTGAACTTGACACGTGATTTTAAACAGCAAATTAATAACATGATTAATAAGAAGAGAATACACGATGCGCGATAGGGTGAAAGTTCGCCGTGCCACAGGTGAATTTTTTCGAAACCTTGAAACGGATAACGATGCAATATTATGAGAATCTCGTATCAAACTTTATTAAGATGATTAATACAGGTCCTTGCTTGACAAAGTAGCACTCTTTGAGAATGACACTTTATCGTCGTCATGGTTTAAATACTGTTACAAATGTTGGTTGCTACCTATATAGTATACCTATAAGTATTTGTACATGTCCCTAAACACGATCTATGTTACAACATATCTCATTTATAAACTTTTAAGAAATCTAAATATTTTACATTATTGTAAATATTATATCTTATAAGCATACATATAGATGTGACATGTGAGACATAAAATATCTCACATTCCAGTGCCTGTAATAGTAAAAAAATATCAGTCTTCCAAAATATAATATCTTGTAATATCTACACCGTAATTGCATGTATTTATGATCTCTAGGATAAAATGTGCAAAAATATTAAAATCTAAAATACATACAATTATCAGCTTTAAAACCTGCTCCAAAATTAATGCATGTTAATTAAAACTACAAATTGTACACGGCATTCTTTGACTCGCTTATAAAACATTAGAATTATAAAAATTTGATATTTATGATCTCTAGCCAGTCTTCTAATTGCTAGCTAAGTAGCTACGTCAGTGTTCTTTGCTATTTTAATTGCCGAAAACTGCTGACCTAAGAGCTTCATCACATCGGCATGCTTGATATTGCTTTTCTCTTTTTTCACCGAGTTGTAATTCTGCTTCACATAAAGCGCGAAACCGGTGGGCTCTCTCATTGGCGTCTGCATTTGCACGGTGCCAGACTTTGTCGTTTTGTTAATTAACAATTCAAACTTTCCATGACAACGGCCACATCGCTTTCTCTCAAGGTCCAAGGATTTTGAATGCCGCCCAAAGCTGCAAAAGATAATATACATTTTAGGAATGACAAATTTTAGAATCGATTTTTAAAGGTATTTAATTGCAATATCCAGCACCTGTATCCGCAATTTATGCATCTGTACGTGAACTTAGTCTTAATTTTATAACGATGACATCGGGTAATTGGTGGCAATTCAGGAAATGTCTTCATTGCTTTGTTAGTCCTGTAATATGAAATAAATTATGTAAAATTCTGCGAAATGATCGCTATAAATAATTACTGCACTCGTTACTGAATTTTATAGTAAAATAAAAATTTAATAAAATATAATAATCTGATAATTATAAAATATTGCATCATGATATACCATCTTTTCCAAAAAACTCCGTGACCACCCTGATCACCATCTATTAGCCACACTGCGGCATGACACATTTCATGAATCAAAGTATCTCTCAGTCTATCTGGCGTATCTAAAATCTACAAAAATAAATTTATTTCAACTATAACTGATTATTTATACACATATAACGAGAAAAAGAAACGAAAGAGAATATACCTTTGTTGCTAATACAATCCTTGAAGATCTAACAGTACCACTAAAACTCTTTACAGACTTTCGGTTGTAACATTTTCCGGCAGTTTTTCTCAGAGAGACGACCCATTCAAGCAACATATTTCGAGGTAACTTATTGTCAAATACTTTCTCGTTGTACAGTTCGTACAATTTTTTACTTAACTCTTCCTTGTTTTTCTTGTAATTCAGTCTGTATTTTTTTGCATGCGGATGAACGTTATTCATTGGAACTGTATCTGACAAAGATGCTAGAAAGCTTTTGTATCCCACAGACTTAGTCATGGTTGATTCAAATTTAGGTGCTGCTTTGGGTGATATTGGTTTTTTGGCAACGTCTAAAAATTAAAGATAATCTTGTTAGACGCAGGCTTCGTTCATTAATATTTCAGGCTATTTTCATTTCCAATTTAAACAAATGTTATCCTGCGTTGCTTACCTTTATTACGTATGTATTTCGGCGGTACATAATCTCCGGGATCAAATTCGCTCGTGCTAGAACTTTCATCGTCACTGAACGATAATTTTCTTCCTTGCAAATATTTGGGACTGCTGGATTTATCATCTTCATCTTCCGTATCCGTATCACATATTACCTGAAGCCTATTTCCAACCAGATAATGTTTAATTAAATTCAATACTGCTATTTGAGATAAATAACATGTATAGTACCGTTTAATTGACGCTGGCACTGGCATGGATTTGGTCGTGCTACTTGTAAAAGCTGTAGGATTTGTCAATGCACTGTGATACAGGCTTTCAATATCACTACCTGATAATGATTCATCATTAATAAAACTATCCATTTCTTTTTGTTTTCGTTGGATATTTCTTCCTCGATTTAATTTAATGTCATTTTCAACTAAAACATAAAATTTATTTCAAAAAGAAAAAATTAGCAAATTAGATTTCAATAAAGTACAATAAAATTTACAATAAAATTTCTTACCCAAGTCAGACTCATCCGAATCTGAATCTACTACATGATATTGATTCTTTGACACAGGTTTCCTGTAATAAAATATAATTCATTATGTTTTTATTAAACCACAAACTAATATAAATAAATAAATATATATTACCGTTCTGTTTGGACAATCCTATTTATTGGTTGATTAGATGTCTTCCGTGGTTCTGTTGTAGGAAGTAATACATTGGTTTTATCTCTCCACGATGTCCTGTACTTATCCAAATCCGAATCTATTACATGATATTGATTCTTTGATACAGGTTTCCTGTAATAAAATATAACTTATTATACAATTGAGATCGGAAAACGATATTTAATTATTTAATCATTTATTACGTTTTTATTAAACCACAAAATGATATAAATAAATAAATATATATTACCGTTCTGTTTGGACAATCCTATTTATTGGTTGATCAGATGTCTTCCGTGGTTCTGTTGGAAGTAATACATCAACTTTATCTCTCCATGATGTACCATACAGTTTTTCTAAAATATCAGCACAGTCCATTTTCTTAGTTTCAAGTGTATTTACTACTGTGGAAGTTTTTTTCTCAGTCTGCGCCTTTGGTAAAGGCTTTGGTTTATTATCTGGTGTACACACTGCAGAATTATTCTTGTATTTCTTCAAATATTGGTCCAGAGTAGTTTGACGCGTCAAGAATGAATGAACCACTTTGTCAGAGTTTACAATTGTCCTCTCCTTTTCGTCCGTTCGCGTCTTATTGATTTTCTCTCTATTATTTGGAGTTTCGTAGTTCTGCTCCAATCTTTCCAGGCTGCTGTTTCCAGAGTTACTGTTTCTAGTACTTGGAGGTATGGTATTCAAGGAGCTGTCGCTCTGAGAATCAGAGCAATTCATCAGAAGCCATTTCTTGATTTCTTTTTTTTTCTTTTCGGACAGAGGTCTAAAAGAATCCATTACCTTTGATACATCAATACTTGGCTTGGATGGTTCAGATAAATCCGTTCGTAAGATATCATTCTTAAGGCTGGAATCAACAACGTCAGAACTATCATTGAGATGCTGTACTTTTCTATTATAATTTGTAGGTGATATGGCTGGATGCATTATATCATCCTCTATATCTGTACTCTCGTCAATTATTACATGTTCCTCTTTCTTCTCTCTGGGAGTATCGTACACGACTTGCGTATACTTTATATTCTTCAAAATTTGGTGCGTGTCTTTCTTTGTAAGTCTGATTTTTCCTGTACTATCCTGCTTTGGAGTATTGTAAGTTGGATGTCTACTGGAAACACTGGGACTATTGTATATGGCACAGTTCGGTTTAATTGCTTTACTTGTCTTTTCAGTGTTATATTTTTCTCTTAATTTCGAATCCACTTGTTCTGTACTTGATATGGGACTTCTGTTAATATGTCTCTGAGAATCGTTGATGAATCTTGCAGGTCTAATTACATGATCTCTATCATGGCTCACACTGCTATTGGTAGCAGTTTTGTTATTAGTTAAGACATCCTTAGAAGCTAGTAGAGCATCAAATAATCTATCAGACGTTGATGAGGCATCGTTGGAAATTAACGACGTCTCTGTAGGTACCTTATTTACTTGCATAACAGTTTTATTTTTAGATTTCTTTTGCACTGAAAATTCATTGCCAGATCTGACAGCTTCCCACGATGAATCGGACTTCCTCTCTTGCTCGCTCTCTGAAGAAGTCTCGAAGAAATATAGCCTCCGATATTCCTGACTCCTAACATTAGAAGTCGAGCTGGATTTCGATTTCGCATCACTCTGTGTCACTTCGGGGGACGAGCTACAACTACTGGAGTCGCTAATCACGATAATATCATCGTCGTCCTTCGTTCTCTTGCTCGTAGCAAATCGTTGCAGCGAAGAATCTTCGGTGGAGCCCTCAGAGAGTCGTAAATTAAAGTTTTGCGAATCGTACACGGAGTTACTCGTGTACCACGCAGACGTCATTTTCAATCTCTTATTTTTTTATTTCCCTCTAAAATAACGTCTCTCCTGCTATTTTTTCACGAATAGCACTTTGTAGATCTCAAGGTTTTCCACAGCTATGATTTTTAGTAAACAAAATAGGTCACGGAAGGAGAGAAGAAACGATGTCAACACAATCACCGAACACGTGGTGATTCCGAGGAAGGATTAAAGAAAAGGTCAATGGGATTTACGATGCACATTTACGTTTATCACACTGCACGTTGACACTCCAGTGGATCTCTTTATCAGGTTATGTTAAATAAAAGTGGCATCATCGTTGAATTACAAACAGCAATCACGCTCTCGTGTGCGTACGTCCGCGAGCCGCGAGGTAATCAAGCATAAACAAGTTCAACTTTTAAATCCGCCAGCACTGCCAGCAGGCCGGTCCGTTAAAATTACTGCTGCCAACAGAACGGAGGGTTGGTGATCACTAGATTGCCCGTACACCAGCGCCAGGACATCCATTTTTGAAACAGGTACTACGTAGCTACACATCTATTTTCTGACATTGTCGATAAAAATCATAACGTCGAAATTGCAGTCGAAAATGGATGGGTGCTTCCGTGCTTTTCATTTAGTGACACAAGTCGACACAAACGTCATTTTATCCTTTTCAGCATTTAGTGAATCAGAAAAACAAAACGATACGTGTCACTATATAAACAGAAAGCACTTGATGTAGTTTGAATCTGTGTTACATCAGAGATTTCTCTCTGTTGTCCGGTATCTAGCAAACTATGTATACAAATTTAAACTTATCAAAATTGTATAAAAATATAATTGGAGAACATGATTAGATAAGAACTTTTATTAATTGAAATTTCGAGAATCTTACTAAGTTTCCTAAAATTTTAATTAAGATTTTATTAATTTTATAATTGAATTAATTCGCATGTATATTTTAACAACAATTTATCGGTCGATGTCATTGTTTTTACCATAAGAACAAGTCATTTAGTCAGACAGCCATTGCGCTAGAGGACGCTATTATATTATTAACTACCAAGCTTTCGTGATGTCCGGACCGGAGACGCCGGAGTCTGTCTGCGATTGTTAGCTGTGAACAACAAAACCAAATGGGCATGTATCTAATGGGTGTATCCTCTTCACCGGCAGCATTTTCCAGACCGATGAAACAAACCAGGTATCTTTATGGTTTTCGCAATAAAAACCTGATATTTTCCCGCAGGGATCTGATGCGCACAATCATTTCGGTTAACAGTTTTATCTCACGGACTCGAGCACAATATGTATAAATATACTCACGTACGTATGTATATTTATACATTGTGTACGTATACATCTGTTTCGTAAAATGAGATGCAACAAACACTCATGAAAAATTGAAGCGAGATGAAAATGAATTAAGAGCAATGAGAAAAATTAGAATAGAAATAACAAAAATATGTATCTGACATAGATACAGAACAAAATTGCAAGAGCTAAAGCTCATTTTTTATTTGTATCTTTTAATTTAAAAATGAGGATTACGTTTTTGATGAATGTTTCACAAAAATATCTCATTTCGAAATATCAAATAATTTCTTCTGCTTCAAAGAGCTGCTTTCTGCAGAAATATTAATTCGAGATGTAGCTTCGACTTTCCTTTTCAAATGAATAATATCCTTTAATTTTTTACGTATCTACGAATTATATACATATATATATATTTTGTACCTGTGAGCTACCGTATCCCGCTCGCTCCTCGACAGCCAACGCGAACTCTCGCGAAATAGTTTCCGCCCGACGAACGTCATTTGTAGGAGCTATTCAGAACTTTTCTGAACCCCGATTCCAGATACCTCGCCACTGCGCCAGCGATAATTCTAATTCGGAAGCCCGCCCCCGAAATGCCCGTCAAACGAGAACGAAACTCAATCAGGATCCCATCTATCGTATTATTCGCACAAAGCCAGACCTCAGATTGGATTATCTATTCGCGTTTCCCGCCACACATTATGTACTCTCGGCAGTATAATGCTCATGATGCGCGCGTGTAGCCGCAACAGGAGATTATACCGTATCCACGATTAACCCACGTACGACCCTGATCCCGATATTTTGCGCCCGCGCATCCTTGTAACGCGCCGCGCGCTGTAAATTATCTGGACCACCGAACCACGAAGAGATTGAATTTCGCCGATCCGCGGCGGAAAGAAAATTCGGAATGTCTCTCCTATAATTCGCGCAGATTATATTATTACTCGCGGCCACGTGAATCAATTTCACGAAGGAATTTTGAATTCACAACACCACGCCGATGCGTTTTGATAAAAAAAAGAAAAACGCGGCGGAAAGAAAATTCGGAATGTCTCTCCTATAATTCGCGCAGATTACGTTATTATTCGCGGCCACGTGAATCAATTTCACGAAGGAATTTTGAATTCACAACACCACGCCGATGCGTTTCGATAAAAAAAGAAAAACGCGGCGGAAAGAAAATTCGGAATGTCTCTCCTATAATTCGCGCAGATTATATTATTACTCGCGGCCACGTGAATCAATTTCACGAAGGAATTTTGAATTCACAACACCACGCCGAAGCGGTTCGATAAAAAAAAGAAAAACGCGACGGTTTGCATACCGTGTGCTTTAAGCGTAATGAGCTGCAACTTGCGCCGCGATACATCCATTAACGGCTGTTAAAGGGCATTTTTATCAAAGAGCGCGACGAGAGGAAGGGAGAAGGGCAAATCGTCCGGCGCTGTTTATATCCAATTTCGACGGTCGTATTTCAACGAATAGCCGCGGCTGCGGCTCCATTCTGGCTCCGAATCGCCGCGTCCGATCTCCGCGCAAATCCGAAATTGATGGTATCGCGCCGCGGCACGCGGCAGCATTTGTCGGTTATTAAGCGTAGATTAATCCTTTTAGCACGATATTGAATGTAAAAGCCCCACGGGGGTGGAAATTATGGCAATTACGTTTAGTTGGGATTGAAAAGTATTAATGAAGTCCGAGGCGAGAGAGTCTCGCGTGGTACGGAACTTGCGTCACACCGCCGCGCCGGTGTGTGTCGCGCAAGAATGTGGAGATATCAGCCGCAGCGCTTATAAATTGAAAGGCAACGTGAAGCTTTCCCACTGATTTATGACCTCCTTCGGTTCTCTTCTTGCTTGCTGTCCATAAAACTTGAATAACACACAAAGCTCGACGTAATATAGAGATAACGAGGCAATGATTACGCGGATGATGTCTAAGAGGCGACTTTCTTTTTGCCTGGAGGAAAGGAAACGCGAAAGTAAAAAAGTATGAAGCGCATTTTCTTTGTGCGTGCTTTTCGGAAAGAATGCTTGCCGCGAAAGTAGAGCGCGCGCTTGCTCGCTTAGACACTGCTCGCTAATCAGGGCATATTTAATTTTCCAATAATTGACTAAAAAATTCTTCACTCGCAATTACTTGTTATTTCGAGTGGAAATTAATAACGACATCAATATGTTTGGTGATATTATTACTTTAGATTTGAATCTCTAAAAGTTATTTTATTGATCAGTAATAATTCAAAATTCTTCATGTCGAAAATAGCATAATTAATTTGAAAAATTCGTTCTTTCTTATATCGCAGAAAATCGTGTCTTTGCAGCGCTATATTCTTGTCGAATTGCTTGCGCTTTTCGTCGGAAGAATTATTTGGATAAGGGTAATCAGGAGAGTGTTGCCTGCAACAGGATGAGAGATTTGCAAAAACCTAGTCGTTAGAGCGCCCTGCGATTTTTTCGCGATGAATCCCGCGAAGGAAGCGCATCTCCTTTTGTTGCGAGCCCGGTGAGGAAGGTCGGCCGGCCATTGTTGGAGAGCTCGACCGAGAGCCGAGCCATTCTTGACGTTAAATGTGATTTAACGCGGGCGCGGGATTTCTCGAAAGAAACGGGACGCGCGCGCCGTGCCGATATAGCCGCGACGCCGTTGATAAAAGCGGTCCGCGTGTCAGAAAAACAATGCCAATACGGATAATGACGGCCGCCCACGTGAGTGTTGCGGTAAATATGGACAGAGTAGCGCGCAGCGGCGATTGGAAACAAAGAAGCGCTCTCCACAAAAGCCTCTAGACACTTGGAAAATTACGACAATCCGGGGCGTAGCCGAAAGTAGATTCACCCGTTCACCAGTATCGAAAGAATCTTCCCGTTCATTCACACAAATAATAATTCTCGCAAAATAATAATTTACACGCCCCCATGAAGCGCCGCGCGAGGCTCTCCGCATCAACCTCTCAACTCGGTTGTTCTCAATCCACGTTCCATTAACGTTTTCTTGCGGCCGGTCTTGAGCTAACTTTCGGTTCACCCGGTACAGCCCGGTCGCTAACGAAGGTAATATCCTCCGAGGCCCGCCTAAGGAAGTTGATTTCCGCAGAAGTGCGTTAATTGCCGGCTTTAACTGACGGTTCGATAACGCTCGATTTCGGCCGGTCGCCATTAATTGCCCCCGAAATCCTTCAGCTCCCTGGAATTCAGGATGCTCGGGTCTGCTTAACGGGGATATCACGCTTAACAGGATGTTTACAAATTGAGGATTATCTTAGGTAAATAGGATAAAGGACTTAGCGGAGACGAGGGAGGAAGCGCGCGTGTGGAGTGGGACCAATTCGAGGAAAAAGGAATATTTGACTATTTCCTTTTCCCAGAACAGCGGAACTAATCGATCGATCGATCGGCGACGTATGCTCGGGAATGCCAATTCTAAACGTGTTTGGCAAATTGATCCCGCCCGCGTATGTAGTATATACCTAATATATATCCCGACCCGGATAAAAACTCTTCCGGCTGATGGATTATTTCTATATGCACAAAGTACAAACTGCTCGTATAACAGTTTCGCGAAGATCTTTCAATTTGAATCTCGATTTCATGGCGATTTCTCGTGCTTTGCGTCTCCTCTCGCGTAAAATGAAAAAGGGAGAAAAAAAACCCGCAGACTCCGTTTGATCGAATTCAATCAATAATTGCGCATGCCGATGCCCCCCCGAAGGTTGTAACGGTTTATCCGTTTGAAAATCAAATGCGGGATCACGTGGTAATACAAATAAATCAAATTCGTTCTAACGTTTTTCGCTTTCCCACCGGGAAATACCACCGGCGATACACTATCTGAACGATGCCGTTTTTCTGTATCATGTCAGATTCATGAGGGTATCAATTCCCTGATAACATCTACAAAAACATCCGTTTTCGACCCGGCCAACCTGTAACTCCGTGTAAACCCATCTCGAATATCTCGGGGAAGAGGGGGAGGCGAGGGAGGGGGAGGGGAGGGAGACGGAGAGGAAAAAAAATAGAGCGAGGGGGAAAGAGGGAGCGAAAATAGGGAACGCCGGAGTGGCCGGCGTCGGCATCGGGCGCGAAAATCTGCGAGGTTTACCAGCAACTAGTGGCGTCGAAACTCCGAACCTCCGAACCCCCGAGAGAGCCCTACAACCCTCGTATA